CAGCAGCAGCAGCAGCAGCAGCAGCAGCAACAGCAGTAGCAGTAAAAATAATAGTGGCAACCACAATAGCAGTGACTATTTTTGTATCTATAAATACCTATATGTTTATAAAAATGCTTGATTTTCTATATATAAGTCTGTTGAAAAATTATATTGAATTTTGTTATATTATCTTTACACATTCATGTAAAACATAAATTCTCTGATCAAGCATTCCTCTTCTTAGATGTATATAAATCTAAAAAATGTTTTGTTATGATCTAGACAAAAAAATAAAAATAAAAACTGATAAGAACTGCAAAAAAAGATGTAGGTGGAGTTTCTGTCTTTTTAGAAAGAACGAGAAATATGAGCATGAAAGAAAAAATATTAAATACTATAATAAACGGTAGAAGTATAAGAGAAGATGAGAAAAGAAAAATGAAAAGGATGAATAAAGAAAAAAGGAGAAAAAAGAAGCTGAATTTACAATTATACAATTTTCTGCTCAATCTAATTGGCGTAAAATATGTCTAAATGTTTAAATAATTATTTGACTTACACAAAATGACTATATCTGAATTGCACCAATCTGTAATTTTGTAACAGGTACGTCTCTTATGACATTCTTTCTCCCTCTCTCTCTCTCTCTCTCTCTCTCTCTCTCTCTCTCTCTCTCTTCTTTTTCTCTATTCTTCTTATTTTTCTTTTCTCGATCAACAGTCGATCAACATCCTAGTGGTCTTCAACATCCCAGTGGTCAATTTCCCACTCAGACGGAATCATTAGCTACAGTACAGAATACTCTTGCACTTCTTTACACGACTTGAGAAGTACACTTGATGAATGAAATCAAGAATATTAAAATTAAACTTGTAATCAATAATCAAGAAATGTTATGTTACATGTAATGTTCACTTGTCATAAAAGATCTAATTAAATAAATTAATTAAATTAATATCATAGCTGTTTACAATGTTAACAAATATTCAATTTTAATTTTAAGGATCGATAAACGAAATTTTTATAACAATTGTTCTAAGAAGAAATATTAAGAATTTGAATTACATCATTTAATATAACAATTCTATGGACAATTCTTTGGATATATCACTTAAATTATATATTCATTATGATACATTTCTATGTCTTTTTGGAAAATGTCTTGTTTATTGTTAAGTTTGGCCAAAAATGAAAATCATCATACTATGTAAATATTTATTTTGTAAAAAAATAATTATGTAAATACATAATCAATTATGTATAATTAAATATCAAAAGCCATAAAATTATACAATTTTGCTCTTTTAAAAGATATTTATTTTGAGTTTTTAATAATTGCCGATCATACATTCGATATAAGTATTGAAATTAATCATTTTTGTGAAAGATATATAAAATGAAATATACAAAGAATGCAAGTTGGTTGATGTCTTCCTAAGTATGAGTATGGTGATAACTAAGAATATTTTTAATTTTCCAAGAAGGAGAAAGAAAGGGATAAAGAGTGAAAGAGAAAGAGTGAAAGAGAATGATGATAAAGAGGTGCGATAATGAGATGAGAAAAGGATCGGATTGATTATATCACGACTCGTGGTCCACAAGAGTCAGTAATCATGAGTCAATCAATATCGGATAATTACGATTATTATTCATGACCAGCGAGTACAACTGTCCGAGTTTTTCATGCAAACTGGTTCATACCTCATTCGTTAGTAATTGATTCTAGATATTGTAGGTGTTCGAGGTAAGAAATAGGCGCATTATATATTCTCTCTCCTTTTTTCTGATATTATTTCTTTTATTTATGTACTCTTTTTTTGTAAAATTAATGTCTCTCATCCGGTTTGACCTCCATTGAGTTATATTTACACAAAAACTATTCTCTTAACCTAAGCCCATAATTCACATTTACAACTATTTTTATTTTTTTTTTGAGAATACATGTATATATGTATATTGTAATATATGTATATATGTGTATCAGTGTGTTGTGACGTGTTATTCTAAACACGTTATTTACGATAAAATATCATTACATGCCTCGGTAGTCGAAAGGATAAGATGTCTGCCCGGTAAGCAGGAGATCCAGATTCGATTCCTGGCTGAGGTGATATTTTTTCGCAAAATAATTACGAGTTTTCACGACTGGTCGGGCCCCGCCGTGACGCACACCCTCCCTTCTTATTCGG